TTTCTAGTAAAAATACAGAAGTACAAATAATTTTTAAATATCAAAAAATCGATATTAAAGTTTTCTTTCAAAACAATACGTTATTATTAAAGGCACTTATGGAAAAAAATCAAACAAGAAGAAATCGCTACAAATGTTACGTTCACCGGTTTTCGGTACGAAATGAAAATCCCCAATTAATTGGTCCCCGGGAATCGGATCAGTAGTAAATTAAACATTTTCTCTTATTTAAAATCGAAATGAAGTCCATTTAAATTCGCCCCGGCAGTAATTACAGAGTTTACGACGTGTCAAAGCGTTCGGCGAAAGTTTTCCACAAAATGGCGTCACGACGGCGAAATGTTTGTAGAATGACTTTGTATTATTATCAAGAATCAAAATTAAGATCATAGTCTTTTCTTATTTTTAATATTATATTTTTTTGTAGAATAAGGGTGACAAACGAGCACACAGTCCACCTTATGGTTAGTGGATGCTGTGGCCCATAGAGATCTACATTTATCCTCAATTAAGAATCAAAATGCAGATGCATTGACCCCTGAGGACTGAGATGGAATGCCTCCTTTCCAGTAAAAAGGGTCTACGGTTCTCAACAATCACCATACGAAACACCACAATATGAAGCTGCTATTTTACGCTGGTATTCTGTGTGAGCGTGATTCTACGTCGGCCGAGCCAACCCATTCGTGCTGCAATCACAATATAGAGCTGCAGCATGGCTCTACCACGTATAATTTTATTTTTATTTTTGACAAAGATCGGCAAATATAAATAAAATTCGGTCGCGGCAAAGTGGTTGGGGTGTTACGTTCGAATTCCGCACGGATCAAGTATTTGTATGTATTGTACACAAGTATTAACTGTTCCAGGTGTGGATGTTTGTTCATTTGCAATTAATGCATGTAATGTGTGTTTGTGGGTGGACCTTTGTATTAAGTAGCTTTACTAAAGTAAAAATAAAAAAGTCCCGCTGGGTTTCTTGCTGGTTCTTCCCAGGAGAGAGGTATGTTTTCGAACCAAAGTAAAAGTAAAAAATGACTTTCAATAAGAATGATAACATGTGATCTATATTGCTTAAAAATATTCTTTTCTATTCTATTCTTTTTTTTATAGGATAAGGGTGACAAACGAGCACACAGTCCGCCCGATGGTAAGTGGTTGCTGTGGGCCATAGACATCTACATATATCCTCTATTAAAAATCAAAATGCAGAAGCGTCGTCACCCGTGAGGACTAAGATGGAATGCCTCATTTCCAATAAAAAGGGTCTCCGGTTCTCTACACTCACCATACGAAACACAGCAGCGTAAAGCTGCTATTTTACGTTGGTATTCTGTGAGAGCGTGGTCCTTCCCCGGTCGAGCTACAACTATATTACTAATATAGCTGCAGCGTGGCTCTACCACGTAGGAAAAATTCTATTCCACCTTTTCGATTTTCTGACGTAAGTAATAAATACAATATTTCCATAACAGCTAATCGCTAAATTAATACTAAATTCAGGAACATCTCTAAACATCTGTAAAAAAAAAACAATTTAATGGCTACCGTTTACGCTCCACGGTGGATTGTGATTGGAAAATTTTTCCTCCTCCAACTTTTTAAATTGGATAGAATTGAGCTTCGTTTGCTTCGAATGCGGAGTTCACGTCGGCAGTAGATAATGCGATCAACTCAATACTAAGGTTTTGAGTTGCAATTGAAAAACGTTTACGTAGTTTTTAATAGGGACTCACTTTTTATTTATTCTTATCAATTTGTTCACTGAATGGCTCACGGTCATCAGAGAATACATCTATTTACATACTAATATTAACTATATCTACAGATAAATAAAATTGTAGTGTCTCTTTGTAAATGTCAAAATAACAGCTTTTAACTAAATGCATACCTGTGAAAGTAAATACGGTACTTATAAAAAACAATTTTTAAAAATTTTGTCTATCTGTCTGTTTGTTCCGGCCAATCTCCGAAATGGCTGGACCGATTTTGACGAGACCCTCACTGGCAGATAGCTCTCGTGTTATAAGAGGTCACTTAGACTATTTTTATTTTAGGGAAAGAATGAATGAATGAATGAATATACTTTTATTCTACACCACGAACAAATATACAAATGACATAACAAAAATCAGATTATATTATGTACAATTTGGTGGCCTTATCGCTCGTAGGTGGTGCAATATAAATATATAACATATAATATCAATACATGCGATATATATATATTACATATCTGCCTAAAATACGTATATAAATTAAAAAATTCCTGCAACAATAATATAAAGCTGATATATACAATAAATATATAATCACATAATTTACCCTAACGGTCTCCGAACGATTGAGACAAGTAATGCTCTTTAAGTAAACGCTTAAAGATTACAATAGATTGTGCTTCACGTAGATATATGCAAAGGTAGGGCATTCCAGAGCTGGACAGTAAAAGATTTATTAAAAAATGATATTTTGTGAGTTGGAACCATTAAAATGAATTTTCTAGAAGAGCGTAGAGGTTCCCCCGGAAGCCACACAAAATTAAACTTCTCCTTTAGATAGGGAGGAGCAGAAGGGTGAAATAATACATAGTACAGAATAGAAAGAATATGCATGTTCCGGCGAAGTCGGATAGGTAACCACTTGAGACGTGAGCGAAATTGCGAAATATGGTCATATTTGCGCAATCCAAATATGCACCGAATACTAGTATTTTGAAGTCTCTCAAGCTTATTTAGCTGGTCCTCAATTATGTCTACATAGTTTGCGTCAGCATAGTCGAGAATCGGAAGGAGAAGAGCCTGTGCGAGCATAATTTTTGTAGGAATGGGAAGAAATGATCGAAGGCGACGCAGTGAACAAAGAGCGACAAAAGTTTTCTTACTTACCTCATTCAGTTGGCGTATCCAATTTAAGGAATGATCAATATAAATACCAAGATTTTTAACATTGTCAAAGTAAGGGATTACAACTCCGTCGAATACGATAGGTGGTGCAGAGAACCAGTCAATTCTTAAGATAAAGCTCCGGCTACCAATAATGATGAAAGAATTAGGGTTCCGTGCAAAATAAAAATAAAAGACACCAAACGCTCTAATACATTTTATAAAATATATAACATGATAACAAAGTAATTCATTATAAATATGTTGATGCGTCACTGTATGATGATTTTGATGATAGCTTAACCCAGCGGACAGCAGATGACGACAATATCCCATGTATAGTATCTCAATGAACCTAAGCGGATACAAGTTAGATCACCGTCCCTGCACTTGTTTTATTCATTCATTTGGTTCACATTCACAAACATTTACTAACAAAATCCACTTCAAACCATTTTAAACGATAATACAAGGGCAGCAATCCACCGTCGGCCAAGTTCCCGCCAAAATCCCCATAACTAATCATATTATGTATTTAAACTTTTAAGGAATACATCCGGTACCGAACCAATATTAACAGATTTATAGGCGATATGCTGAAATTGGCATAGGCGATTTTTATTTGCCAATACACCGGGTACGGTGTAACTTTTATGCTTCAAAAATGTAATGTGATCAAGCAGTCGTACACTATTGTTTACTTTTGAAAATGAGTTCCTTTGCATCCGAATGAGTATTTTCCACCGTAGGTCTTATCTCAACCGACTTGCGAAACATCGCCGCATAACTTAAGGGCATTGAGTTATATGTACTACGTACTAGAGAAGCCATTACAAACAAAAATTGTGTCCTACTCTATGTCTTCGCGCATGCGCGGGATTAGTAGTCGCGCATGCGCTAAGACTTTAATTTAATATAAAATAAGATATAAATATAAAATAAATATAAGAATTTAATATAAAATATCTTATTTTAATCTAAACAAACATATTTCTAAATAAAATGTAATAATAATTATTTTATGGAATTCACAAATCTTCAATTTACGCAATATTTAGTTTGTATGGATTGCACTACAGTTCAGTTGAACATAGTCAATGTTCGGAATGGCTTCTCTAGTACGTAGTACATATAACTCAATGCTTAAGGGTAATGTTTGAAAAAAATATTGTGACTTACCTAATATTATTTACTAACTTTTGAAAATTAATCTAACAGATCAGAACCATCGAATAATATAAAATCCTGTTCAAAAAATTATTATCTACAGATTTATAATGATTATAGCACGAACAGGTGGACAGGACAGTGGTAGGACGATGTTCGCTTAAAAAGTCACGTCGATGAGGTACGTCGTACTTTTCCATAACATTCTCTACCAGTAGATTTTTACGTAGTAGAGCCACACTGCAGCTGTATTGTGGTTGTAGCACAAATGAGTCGGCTCAACCGGGTTAGGACCACAAAACACCAGCGTCAAATAGCAGCTTAATGTTGCCGTGTTTCATATAGTGACTGTAGAGAACCGGAGACAGTTTTTACTAGAAACGAGGTATTCCACCTTAGTCCTCAGGGGTGACAACGCATCTGCATTTTGATTTATAATCGAGGATAAATGTCAATGTCTATGTAGTCTATGGGACACAACATCCACGTACCATCAAATGAACTGTATGCTCGTTTGTAACCCTAATTCTATTTAAAAAGATAGTAATATCACTGGATACATATTTTCACGTGGTAGAGATATGCTGCACCTATATTATTGGTATAGTTGCAGCACTAATGGGTCGGCTCGACCGGGGAAGGACCACGCTCTCACAGAATACCAGCGTAAAATAGCAGCTTAACGCTGCTGTGTTTCGTATGGTGAGTGTAGAGAACCGGAAATCCTTTTTACTGGAAATGAGGCACTCCAGGTACTCCATCTTAGTCCTCATGGGTGACAACGCATCTGCATTTTGATTCGTAATCGAGGATAGATGTAGATGTCTATGGGCCACAGCAACCACTTACCATCAGGTGGACTGTGTGCTCGTTTATCACCCATATCCTATAAAAAATACACAACGTTTAAATATTGCAAAATAGGCCAAGATAATGGAATAAATCACTCACGGCGTTTTTATGATGATCCTCTTCAGTAGTTTCGATGTCAACACTTTCGTCGCTATCTCGGTCGCTCTTCGACGATCTAGCAGGAGAAGAACGTAGTGGCGACCGGAGCGGAGAGCGGAGCGGGGAGCGGAGCGGTGAGCGACTTTGTCTTGGCGATGAAGTAGCTGTTGAAGACCTATTGGAATCAAATCAATCAGATTAAGAAGAATTGATTATATTACGATACTAGCTAGCCGTGGTAGCTCAGGGGCTTAGCGTTCTCTGTAAATTTCACAGCATGCGAGCAACCTGGGTTCCATCTCCACCAGCACCAATGAAATTGTTAATTGCAATTTTCAGTGCTGATTACCACGTGCATGTCTGAGAAATAAAAATATTTCAAAGATATATTAAGTCCGCCAACACGCCTTGGGGCAGCGCGGCGGACACCTCCTTGTCCTAAAACCCTCTCAGAAGTGAGACCTTAGACCCTGAACTTCCACGGCTCTTAGTTTTAAATTTTAATGACTGTATTAAGTGCCTTACTTAAGAAGGAAAATCGTATTTGTTTGTAAAAACGAATTTTAGAATTTTAAGAAAGTCAAGAAAGTTTTATGTTCGGTCTTCAGTGGCGAGAGTCGCCAAATCCTAAATTTATTATTTTTTATTTTAAGGTTTGGTGCTTGCGTAACAGTCCCATTTCATATCGTGGGCGTGGGTGTCTTAAAATGCGACGACGAAAAGTCTAAAATCTAAAATACTACTGCCAATTGCGTTGTCAACCCTGAAACAAAATGAACGCCTCCTTTTGTTATTATTAAACTAGGCTCACTCTCGAGCTCCATCTCGCCCGAGGGTAAAGATAAGGTCTACGACGGAGCGAGTTTGACCAAGAGAAGCCTATTAACACGCACCTTGAAGAGGTTAATTACCTCGTTACCAATAAACAGAATGTCCGCGTTTCGTCGCAAATTATACGGAACACAGAAGCTTTATACCCATTTCCGCTGGTATTCTGTGAGATCGTGGTCCTTCTCGGTCCATTCGATCCATTTGTGCTACAGCCATTACGCGTTACAGAGTTTCTCTATCACTTTAAAACATCATCGAATTGGTAAGCCATCAACTACTATTTTTTTTCTTTTTACTTATTATAAGCCAGTGCTTGACCACAATCCCACCTGGTAGTAAGTGGTGATGTAATCTTAGATGGTAAATCGCACTGTCTTATCGTAACAAAAGCCTATTCACTCTTGCCTTGAAGACGCCCAGATTGTATTCGGAAGGAAAGATGGACGCCGGCAAATTATTCCACTCCTTTGCTGTACGCATTACAAAAGACGAAGCAAACCGTTTGGTTCTAATGCGTGGAATATCGATAACAAAGGGATGAAGACCCACCGACCGCCTGGTTGTCCGATGGTGGAAAGGAGAGGGAGGAATTAAAGCGTGTAATTCCTGCGCACACTCACCGAAATGCATCCTATAGAATACCGACAGACTGGCTACTCTGCGCCTGTGCTCGAGGCTGACCAATATGCAACCAATTTCAAACAAAGAAGGATACAGATGTGACGTAACGTAACTACACTAACTCTCTATACCCTTCGGGCCGGACTTGGATTTGGCGGGAAAAATAGGTAAGAGGGTAGTACCTGCAAAGACAGAAAGGAGTTCTGCCATCTACAAGTAGTAAAAATCTAAAAACCTTAAACTAATTTATAATTTAAAAAGTTTAGAAATGTTTACCTGGTAGGCGATCGCTGCGGCGAGACAGGTGACAGCTGAGGAGAGTCGAGACGATGGGACCGTACCGGACGGAATGCTCGTGGTTCCTCTAATGAGCTTACACCACTTAAAGCCGTCAATGCACCTGACAGTTAAACATAGAAATTGTTATTAATAGTATAAGAAGATAAAAGAATATATTATAATTTTATAATCTAAGATAAGGTAATATAAGCCAACCAAAGGAAGGAATGTTTTAGTGCTTTGGACACGTAGAACAATTAAAAATTAAAAAAAATTTGTACAACCGACTTCTATATAAATGATTAAGAATAACTCAAAAACTATTGATCAGACCTTGATCAAATTTATATGGGACCACATATGAAGCACCAGCTTTCAAATAAAAAAAGAATCATCGAAATCGGTTCACACAGTTAAAAGTTATGAGAGGTTACACACATAAAATAAACATGCAGTCGAATTGAGTACCGTCTCCTTTTTGAAGTCGATAGAAAAATAAATGGGGAAAAGTAGCAAAGCAGCAGAAAGCTGCAGAAATGAGTGGCAGAGTCGGCCCTATGCCCTAAGCTGAAGTTTATTGATCAAATTGGCGAATATTGAAAATGGGCCAAATTAAGACCAATCAGACACGACCGAAGTGAGATCAGAGGCAAGACCAACGGCTTCTTTCTGACTTCGAACTGCTACTGAGAATTAATTGAAAGAATAATCCGATTTTTGCCGATTCGAAACCGGATAAACAGCAGTCACGCTTACGACCACTCACTTAGTTTGATAGTACCACATACTATAGGTATGATAAGAGTCGCTGAATTAATCCATCACCTAGTAAAATAAGGTTTGCTCATTTTTTCTCTTAAGAAAAGAAAAAAATCCCGGCCAAGTGCGAGTCGGACTTGCGCATGAAGGGTTCCGTACCATCGTAAAACACGTTTCTAGTATGGGAGCCCCCTTTAATTTTTAATTTATTTGTATTTGTTGTTATAGCAACAACAGAAATACACTAAACTGTATACCTATTACGGATCATGAGATACATGACATGATACTGATAGACAGACGGATGGACGGAGGGTTCCGCTGGTTACCCTTTGGGTACGGAACCCTAAAAATAAAATGTCTCCTTGTTATTTTATGTAGGAACGTTTTGATATAATATAGTAGAAATACCCCGCAACGTACCTATTCCAAAAGGCCATCCATTATTTACCTGGAGTCCATAACGTAGGTTTAAGCCAAGGTATGTAAGGCAACGGAAGCCTCGCCCCCCACACGTAATCCGCCAGCCTCGGTACTGGCGTGTGAGCGCTAGGCGGACTTCCTGCTGACCGCTTCGGTTCCGCTTCGGGTTCTGGCCTGCGAAGTGGGATCCTTCTGTGGCACAATTTAAAGCTGAACTTTTTGGTGCGATTTTGAATTTATATAACGCCAATTAAATAAAATTTATTTTTGAACAAATGTGAACACACTATACATTTCAAGTAACTTATTATTGACTAATGATTTCAATGTAATTTTGTTGGAACGAAGTTTCTTATCACACGGGACGAATTTGGAGGATGGGGACTAGGCGAGAAAAATTTAAGATTTTTCCGTCACGACCCCCTTTCTATCGGGCAAGCGAAATTAAATAATATCCATCTCCCTCGTACTTTTTCTTATGTTGCCATGAAAAAAATATTATTTTAAATGACGCTTCATTTTAATAGACACTAGTACATAATTAATTTATTTGTATTTGTTAATCAATAATATAATAAGTTTATCAATAATAATATACTACGAAAGGAGCTTCGTTCCAACCGAGTGTTCCACGACACTCACGCGTATATTTATTTTGATAATGTTTTACTTTCCAATTTTATCTAGATAGGAACCGAGTAAATCTAGGTCGCCTAGGTACTATTTATTAGGTATAAATACTATTACACGTTATTATAGTGAAAAGATTTTGAATGTGGTAGCCTCAGCTGGTACCTAGCATAACTTCCCTGGGGCCAGATTTGATTTTATAGAGTAACAGAAACAAATAACATACAGCTATTGTTTTTACAAAATAAATTTCGTGCTAAGGTTTAATATTTTTAAGAGTTAAATTCGCTTAACATGCGAATAAAATATTTCTGTTTTATTTAAAAATAGGTAAGGTCTTATTCACAAAAAAAATTGACGTCAATTAAAATATTCTTTTTAGATTATTGATAGGTCTTCGAGATAACCTTAGAATAATCTAAGATATACTTAAAGTTGCTCTCTCTCTTTTTACTAAATGACAATAGAAAGAGACAAGTATAGAGATAATTAAAACTTAATTTAAGTCAAGTGGAAAAATTTAAAATTTTGTACAACCGACTTCAACATAAATTATTAAAGATAATTTAAAAAACTACTGATTAGACCTTGATCAAATTTATATGGGATCACATGAAAAACACCAGCTTTCAAATAAAAAGAGAATCATCAACATCGGTTCACATAGAAAAAATTTATGAGGTAACATACATAAAAAAAGAAAAAAATACAGGTGAATTGAGTACCTCCTCCTTTTTGAAGTCGGATATAAATGATAATCAACGATTATAAGTAAGGCCGTGTATTTCTTACCTAGCAGCAGAAAGCATTCGCTTTCTCGTTCCACCGTTAAACATTGCTTTAACGTCTTCCCACGCGTGGACTACCTCATCGGGTGGACTCCCACTGAGCTTCATGTGCCGCCTCCAGGAGTTAAAGTTGGCCGCGTCAGGTTGTACGTATTTGTCCCCAGGGCCAACGCGATGCGAGTGAAAGATGAATTTGTTTGGAGAGAAGAAAAGGCCACAATATGCGCATTTGATGCACTTAGCCCGCGATGAGTTATACCTGATAGAGAATTGGAAACTCAAGGTTATATTTTGTTTTTAAATTAAAAGACAATGTTGAAACATAATTATATACCTATGTTATAATTATTTTGTTAAAGAAATCAGAAAGTACAGTGGCGTATAACGATATGCATCACTTTTTTATTTTTAGTAGCAATTACTTACAGGAAAGTTCCGCACATAATATGTCATTAGGGTCAATTTCGACCATGTAGAGGCTCTAAGGCACCTAAAGTATAAAGGGCTTCGATAAAACAAAAAAAGAAAATGAAAAAATTTAATAGTATATGCAAAGTAATAGGTAAGAACTTCGTGAATCTACACCGTTAATTTCATATAGTTTGTTAAGATGTTTGAATGTTTGTTACTCAACCACATCTAAATACTTACTTACTTATCTTCACGCACAATCCCTGACGAGGTAGCCAGAGAGAACAGATCGCCAAGTGTCACGATCCTTACATACCTCTTTCGCTTCTTTCAGATTAATTATCTTCTTCATACACGTCTAGGTATCCGAGTACTCTTGACCCTCCCCTCTTCGAGAAATTTGCTCACATGGTCTTCAAAGTTAGTCTCGGTCTACCTCGACACCTTTTAATATTTACTTTCGCGCTATATATTTTCTTCACCATTCGGTCTTCACTCATTCGCTCAACGTGCCCAAACCATCGAAGCACGCCCTTATCAATTTTTGTGATACGGTCATCTTTCAAATCTGCCATATTGCGAATCTCTTCGTTTCGCTTTCGGTCGGCCATGGTAACGCCGCACATTTTTCGAAGAGATCGCATCTCCACTGCATTCAACTTACTTTTATGCTTCTTCTGGCATACCCAGGTTTCGCTGCCATATAACAAAGTCGGTACCAACACAGCGTTATGTATTGCAAGGCGTGCACTCTTCACTACGCATTGCCTTTTGACTAACGCAGTCAGGGCACCATTGATTTTGTTCCCGGCAGCGACACGCCTGTCCACATCTAAATCACATCTTCCATCCCGGCTGAAAGCACTCCCCAAGTATACAATTTAAAATTTATAAATGGATTTAAATAAAAATTGGTAAACAGATAGACCATCACTTGGATTAATACATAAACATGAAACAGAAAAAAATAAAGAATTATTGTTCGCGCCACTTTGCACTACCGCCTAACGCTTATGAGATTAGTTGATTATTTATCCAATAAGAGCACTGCAAAGGCCATTTCCGGGTTTCCTATCTACCGCCTTTTATGCCTAGCATGTGCACTCTTGTGTTGACGAGATTCTCACAAGTTCAGAAAACACGGAACTAACCGCATCGCCTATATCTCGCGTCATCGCTCCCGCCGTTGTGTAATTTAGATATTAAACTATACAAAAATATAGTAAAGTATATAGACATTTGTTATAACGCTATGTTTCGCGATAATCTTTTAAGTTTATGTGTGAAGACATCCGACATTCAACCATCGTGGTGCGGCCACAATGGTTAGATGCCGGCTATCTGGTTAATGCCCCTTGTAGTCCAGGTGAGTGCATATGCATTCCTTCACATCCTTCCTGTAGCCCCAATATAGGGGCATTTGCAGTATTGCGAAATAGTAAATTAGCACTGCACCCTATAGTCGTATAGGCCGTATATATACGTAAATTCATTCTTTTTATAACTCTGAACCAGCAGTTGATCATTTAAATCAACACACACAGTTTTTTAGCCCTCTCGCTGAAATATAATTAATTAGTAACCAAATACTTTTAACACGGGAAAATAAAAGTTACGGAATAATAATAAACATAAACGCGTTTCGGTTTTTACATGAGCGTAGAAATGTTTAAAAGCTAGTGTTTAATAAATTTCACGTTACAATGGGCGAACCTGGCCGGAAGGAAGGCACCTCTACATCCCCAAGCGCACTCGTGATGAACTGCGAAAGCAAAGTCGTCAGGCAGTCGCGGTGGTGCGTTGTCGCCGAGGAACGACTTACACAGACGCTCAGCCTCCCGCCTTGTGATCATTCCTGTTATCGACATTTATAGACATGTAATTATTTTATTTTATCGATATATTGAATAATCGAGAGCCCCTGTTTTTCTTTTGTTTGTCTAAAGTTTAGACTTCTTTTCTTAGAAAATTGGATGTGCTTCGTTTAGATTCTAAACGAAGCACATCCAATTTTCTACTGCTGGGAGTTTCCCTTCCATGCCTGGCAACATTAATTTGTTATTTGCAGATAAATAAATTAGTAATTTTTTACACGTTTATTACGTACACTTGATATTAAGTGGGTAATACAGTCCATGAAAACCTGCAGCCAACTTCTAACAAAGAAATAAAAAAAAGGAAAAAATTAACCCAACAAAGGAGGCTACATATCCGTTATTACCTCTGAGAACTTAAATGGAATGCGTCACAGTCTTTAATTAAATTTGCTCTCTATACCATTCAGAACCGATCACAACAGTGTAGATACTGCTATATGGCAGCAGAAATAGGCAATAAGGTGATATCCCTTCCCCTTTTTTTAGAAGAAGTTTGTTTGTCCTTGTGCAGTTATGTTTGTAAACTGCCTCCACGATACAGGAGAAAATCCTAGGCGTGGGGGTAACGTTTTTTAAAAAGAACTAAAAAAAGAACTGCTATTTGGCAGTGGAAATAGGCAAGAAGGTGGTACCTTTCCCCTTTTTTATAGAAGAGGAGCAAACGAGCATGCGGCCTATCTGATGGTAAGTGTCGACCACTTCCCAGGAGCAACTGCAACACCAGGGCAATAACAGGCGCGTTGCCGGTCTACCGCCGGTTGTAGACGACTCCACAAAGAAGTCGTGTGAGGAAGAAAACTAGTTGATCACACAATGATGGACCGCCAAGCAACCAGATGGTGTGGATGGTGGTGTGAGATTTATCGCGATGTGCTGTCGTGATTTGGTGTTATATCTATCCAAAAGGACCCCTAGACAAAAGAAGTCCTACAACCTAGTAAAATTTGCCAATAGAAAGTTTTTTTTTTATATAATAAGGGTGACAAACGAGCACACAGTCCACCTGATGGTAAGTGGATGCGGTGGCTCATAGACATCCACATTTATGCTCAAAGGGCTAAGAAATGTCTCGTATCCAGTAGAAAGGGTCTCCGTTTCTCTACACTCACCATGCGAAAAACAACAGAATTCAGCTGCTATTTTACACTGGTATTCTGTGAGAACGTGGTCCTACCCCAGTCAAGCCGACTCACTCGTGCTATAACCACAATATAGCTGCAGCTTGGTTCTACCATGTAAAAGTGCTCTACTGACAGAGATTGTTCTGGAAAAGAACGACGTACCACATCGACGTGACGATACAGGCATGGCGCCGGCGCGTCGCAATATCTCCAGCTGGACCGGCGTGCACTGGACACATGTTATACCGAGAGCAACCCTCCTATTGTGTATCTCGTTGTAAGAGAACTGCTTGAGGAGCGTGTTGGAGATCTGAGCGAGACAAAGCCGTTCCACGCCCTCAATGACGAGAGAGACTATTGGCACGCCGTAGAGAAGCACCGTGCCGACCTGTTGAAAAGGATTAATGGAAATTAATGTCAATGTAGACAACTTAACCTGCATTTTTTTAAATTAATTTATTATATTTAAAGCACACATAGGTGTATATATTTAAACAGCCTTATATTTTATACAGCAGTCTTCTATTCTGCTAGTGGAATAATCCTTAAATATACGAATACGTAAATACATAATTTATATCAAACGTTTTTATCAAAACATCAAAAATAGATTTTTACCCGACACCGGCGGAGCCAAAATAAACGGTAACATTTTTGGAACAATTTTTGGACAAACTGATGGTAAGTGGTTGCTGTGACCCATAGACATCTACATCTATCCTCAATAAACAATCGAAATGGAGATGCGTCGTCACCCGTGAGGACTAAGATGGAATTCCTCTTTTCCAGTGAAAAGGGTATCCGGTTCTCTACATCCACCATACGAAACACAGCATCGTTAAGCTGCTATTTTACGCTGGTATTCTGTACGAATCAAAATGCAGATGCGTTGTCACCCGTAAGGACTAAGATGGAATGCCTCGTATCCAGTAAAAAGGGTCTCCGGTTCTCTGAAATGCGGATATGCGGACATGCGGACGGCATTTCTTACGTACAAACGTGTTAGGCCGGCCCCATACATACGAAATTTCGAATGGGTCGGCCACACACCTTCGGAATCCATGTTGCCCGAAAAATTTCGAACCACCGTACGTGTGTGATTGTGTCCTTGATTTTATATGGACTTGCTGCGTTCGGAATCCCGACTCGAAGGATAGCCAGCCTTACTCTGTTTTCTCCTTATTCACAAGATAAAAATAACGTACTAGTTTCTTTATACTGTCATTTTACTTTATATTTACATTATACTTTAATATAATAGTCACAGAGGAATTCATGTCCAGTGCAAAAGACGGAGGGATAGTAATACGTTCATTCATGCCATAGTGGAGCGGATAAATGCAACCATAAGTCTAGTCTCTCCATGGGGTGACAGCAATCTGGTCACTTTCAATGCCGCCAAAAACGCAGGCATGTCTGTTTCCCGCAAAACGGAGTCCGTTTGACTCCTAATTTTCGAGGTACATCTGTAAAGGTTACTGATCATCCCGAGCTTCTTGGCATAGAGTTGAGTGCTAACCTCAACTTTGGCGTTAACATTGAGTCGCGGCCAAAAAACTGCGTATTCTAAACAAGGTGAAGCGATACGTCACGCCTGGACAGCTTCTAACTTTATACAAAGCTCAAGTCCGAACATGCATGGAGTACTGTAGTCACCTTTGGGATGGCTCAGCAAAATATGTACTACAACTCAGTGGAACGCAGAGCCAAGTGGCTTATCGGCGACAAAAAGCTGGTGGAAACTAAGCTGCACAGATTAGCTCACCGCCGCCAAGTTGCTTGTTTGTAGATCTTCTACAGATTATACTTCGCAGAGTGTGCCTATGAGCTTCATAAGCTCAGACCGCCATCTCCATTCACCTATCGGAGTACCAGATGTACTGCATGTTACCACAGGCAGGGCATTCCACACAGCCAATGAGTGGAATGCCCTGCCGGTGTCTGTTTTTCCAAGTGCCTATAATCCGGACCTCTTCAAGGTGAATGTTAACAGGGTTTTGCTGAGCAAACTCGCTCCATCGTACACCTCATATTTAATTTAAAAAAAAGAATTGAAACTTACTTGATTCGGTTTACTATTCAACTGTAATGCCTTATTCTCCGAACGTGATTTCAGGGACTCCCGCGGTGGAAGAGCTAAATTCGTGGCCTCCATACTGTAACAAGCAAATAAAAATAAATTATATTATATCCTTAAATAAGTAATCTATTGTTCCATAGTTCTTTATTAATTAAAATTTATTTTTAAGTAATCTATTGTTCCTTATTATTTTTTTTAATCTACTAAGCCAGCGCTTATCTACGATCCCATCTGGTGGTAAGTGGCGATGTAGCCAAAGATGGTGAACTGACTTAACAAAAGCCTATTTACTCTTGCCTTGAAGACACCCACACCGTAATCGGATGGAAAGGCAGATGCTGGCAACTTATTCCACTCCTTTGTTGTCCGCATGATGAACGACGTGGCGAACCGTTTGGTTCGAATGTGTGGTAAGAGAGAGAGGAATTAAATTATGCAATTCCTAAATTAATTAAAGGAACTATAGATTATTATTAATCTATAGTTCTTCATTTGTCATTAATGTTTAGTTTGTATTTATTTCAAAATCATCTTATCTTATATAGTATGCACTTAAAAACTTAGTTTACTATATACAGAGTAAAACCAATAGAAAATTTAAGGCCATATTTTTTAATCACACTACTAAGATTTATACGAGGTGTATTTTAGCAAAGCTTACAGCAAGTAAAATATTATATAAGCGTTTCCCAAATGTTGTAGAGCACGCTCATGTGGCCGTCAAGTCTTCCTAAGGCATCAGCACTGTAGTAAGATGTAACAGGCTTTTATAAAAACCTAGACCATTTTAATGACTTGTCCTTCTATGACTACGGAAAGGCTAGTTGGTCCGAACTGTAAAATATCATAAACTTTGGTCGGTGTTACTGTGGTTATGTTTTGTTTGACAACAGGCTAAATCTCATGGCAGTTGACCGGGAAATTAAACGGCAATGTTCAACAGATATGAGAGATCCTGAAGAATATTTATATAAATGGTTAATAGTATTTTTTTCTATGGTATCATTAAATTTTGGAATGCAAAAAACCATTTAGCAAATCACCGCCAATACGCCACGCACTCGGCCAACATTGTCAAATGTGTCGAATCGCATAATAAGTGAATATAATAGTCAATTATGGCAAAGCTTCATTGACTTGTAGCAATAAATTCACAAAGTGAGAGAGAACAAAAGCGATCATTCGTATACAAATAGGCACGTTGCGTGTGAATTTGGTATATCGAATATCAATTGGGTGAATTGGGAACGGAGGGTGTCGTAATGTATGGAGTGACGCCCTTCGCGTAGGGCTGGCAGGTAACGTTAAGTAAGTCGCTTGTTTTTGTTATTGTCATTACAGTTTGTTTTGACCTCATTCTGTCCATTGAATAATTGGTTAATCATAAAAATAAGACTTAGTGAAAATGACAGGCTAATTCAACTCCAGATAGTACACAAAATTTAAAATAATCGTGTGGTTGTGAATAGGAAACTCAAACGCTAGCCTTTTTATTCAAACTTTAAACGTTAGGTCCCGCCGTGACCATAGGTTTCTGTAAAGCACCCGAAACGTCGGGAATTAAAATAATAAATTAAACGTGATAAAATCCGTAACAAATAGTTTTTATGTGTAGTGTTCGCGTAAATATAAGAAATCATGATTTAAACTATCAATCCATTATTTGTAAGGCTACCTTACGAAATTGTCGCACGAGGAGTATTTTTTTTAAAAGTTTAAACGGCAAAGACCACATGATCACATTTAAGACCACATGTCTTTCATACACGTTACTAAACGTAGGTACGTCAAATAGAACATGGTTTTCTTGATGTATCGCTGAAAATGTGTCAGAGGCCACTCTAGACACCCTAGGCCCTACAATTTTGTTTGTCATATGTGAGATACACTACAAATGACGATCGGCCCCAATATGCAGCGCACATCAGCAGTAGAGCTGACGTCAGCCCTTGATGTATTTGTGTGCTTGTAAAGTTGTAGGAACTAAGGTAGTTTATTTATTTTAATCACATTAAACCACATCTCAATTCTAGTGATAAACACTGTTAGACTTATTAGAAAATATCACTTCTGTTTGAGAGTTCAGGGGGTCTGCATTTAAAACTAATAATATGTAGAGCCATTGTAAACTGATAATTCACCACTTCAAAAGTCATATCCCTAATGCTTAAAAACAACATGGGGTAGCCGCTAAATCCGTGGTGACATTCCGTGCAAATATGTAGGAATGTTCCGTATAATAAGGTAAAATATCGATAAGATTTTCGGACCGAATTAATGTGCTTAATTTTTTTTTGTTACATCATGTTTCTCTTTTGAAAATCGTATGAAACAGTGGATAGCGTGACTTTTCATTGTGTAATACATAATGACTTTCAAGTTGATCAACTACAGGATACTGGTTATAAAATTATAACTATTATCCAAACGAAACATTCGTTATTTGCAGACATCTAAACCACTATACTAGTATATAATAGATTATAAATATCCTAATAATTTACCTTTTATTTTATATTATTAATCTTGAGTTGGGCTTTACAGCATCCAGTTATTGTTAAATGAACTTATAATTTATTTTTTAGATAATTTTATCACTTATAATATTAACTTATTTTGTACCTGTTGTTTCTAATATCTGTACAAACCTTCGCTACGCTTCGCCAAGCTAGGCATTCGTAGAATAGTAGAGAATGCCTCAGGCATTAAAAACTCCTATACACCATCTTGTTTATAAAAATGAAATTAAAATAAATAAAAAAATGACATCACGATGTGTTTTTAGGTTTGAACTTTGAAATACATCTCATTGTGCATGATATCGATATATACATATCGATATGCTTGGAATACATCACTATCAATCAGTTAAGGGCGCGATCGGTCAAACCGACCCCAGACCCCACACTGGGGCGCGCCGTCAAATTGATTACGTTAAATGATGTAACATTATCGTAATGATTGCATATGTCACGTCTTTTAGGGTTGTCTTAACGCTCATATGTCATTATATTTTGTATCTACTAACTAGGCCCGTGAGTTATAATTTTAGGAACTCACATAAACTAACTAATATAAGTAAATAACTTAACTAACAGGCCATATAGCTCGTAGAACCAACAACCGATGGGTAATAAAAGTTCTCGAGTGGCAGCCTCATCTACCGGTGAAGAGTAAGGCGGGCCCCACTAGAATCAGTGACGACCTGGTAAGACATGCAGGAAGCCAATGGATACAAGTGGCTAAGGACCGTGCTTTGTAGCATTCTTTAGAGAAGGCCTATGTTCAGCAGTGAACTTGTGAAGGGATGTAATAATTATGATGATGATGATGATGACGTAAATTAGTAAAGAAGACGTAAAAAGACAGGTTAGTATCTGAAATTTGCAAATATTGACAAGAATATGTTACCTCAATCAACTGGATATCATGTTAGATTAGCTCTTTTTTATTATGGTATAAAGAAGCAATAAAAATTAATCAAATCCAATAAAATGTTTGTGTAAAATCAGTTATATTATTTTAAAATAAATTCTAATTTAAATGAATTCCATACTACAATTTAAAAAAAAATAATTTAGTCTATCAGACCCAATTCTTTTTTTATGTATATTTTTTTTTAATTTCCAACACTCGAAAAGTCAACTGTATCGATAAAAATCATTTAACAAACGTAAATTGCACATGAACATACAATGCTAAGTCACATCTATGTACATAACGTCACTATAGCCGTCATCAAAGTTTGTGTGGCCCATAGCGCAAGCGCCGGTGGCCTGCGTTGCTCTATGGTGTCTCTTGGTAGAGAGTAATTGTGTTCTGTGGCAATTCTGTGGTAGAGAGTAATTGTGTTCTGTGGTGTGGCCTCTACAACTGTCATCATTTTAACAGATCCATAGGTTTAAATTATAATGGCGTAAACAGATCATATACTCATATATCTTTTAGGGTTACCAAGCGTTACTAACGTTTATGTATATGTCAGCAACCTTGGTACTAACATATTTTTATTTAGTCCTAAAATCGATTCGCTCTCACAGAATATCATCGTAAAACATTCAAACGATATTCAATTTTAAGATGTCATTATGTCTCGTGGTGTCACAGTCATTTTGAATTAAAGTGATAGAGACAGCACGAGATTTACGGCGTCTTAAAATCGAGTACCGTTTGAGTATTTGGACATATTATGTGCCACAATATCCACTTACGTTTGTGTAGGCTGTGTTCGTTTATCACCCATATTCTATTTAAAAAAAAAACACACAAGCACAAAGTGCATTAATACATATACAGTCAGCTATTGCCACGTCTAAAAACGTATTAATCTATTCCATAATTTATTTCACGGTTCAGCTGTCATCACTTGAATTTTGTGTATGATATGCTTTTGATAATATTCAGAATCCGTAATTATAAATCCCTTACAAGGGCCATATGGTGTCGATTCCAACATTGGGATGATACTCCGTGGGGACAGGGACGCATATGCAGCACTTGTTTTGGAACTAATCGTTTTCCGAGGCAATCTGGCACAATGCGATACGGCTGTTGGCATTTTTATTTCTTTTGTCTGATTAAGGGAGATTGATATGGTGTTTGTGCGGCTTTTAAGAAAGTGTGGATGTTTTATAATGCTGCTATCCTAGTAGATATTGATCACAGTGACATCTTTCGGACACTACCAAAAATTATGAACCGCGCAGAAAGTATTACAGATCGTTAAGTGTAAAACACAAATACCTGCTTCGCGGAAGCACATGCTCGTCCTAATAATAAATAACAAAGATGGAACGCAGTTTCATACAAAAACGTATTTCATACACGTCGAACTCCTTGGTTGCTACATGCTTGTTCATTAGTTTCTACACTTACACATTCTGCCCTGAAAATGCTACGCTTTTGCAGGAAATGTAAACTTCGTCTGGAATTCAAACCATGTACTCCCGTACTGTTGTGTTGTGTTGCTTGATCACTATTTTTCAATTATTAAATCTTTATTTAAATAATTATTTTAATAATTACGAATTTAATTATTTAGTTACATCCAAAATATACAATGGTTAATTGTTTTT